GGAGGGTTAACTCTGTCCATTTCAAGTAATTCAGCTCATGTCAGCCCGTCCAGTCAGGCTGAGACTCACTCTTTCCAGGGCTGGCCTATACTTTAAGCTCACATTCTCTGCCTCTTTTTTTTTGTAAGTGCTTACTGAACACTTGAACGTACAGAGACTGTGTGTGGCTACCAGGCCAGGGTTGGGATTTTTCTCTGTCAGCAATTGCACATGTCAGCAGACAGTCCCACTGTGTGGAAACTGTCCCTTTCACTGAGCCGCTCATCAGTTAAGGGGTTGATTTCTGCTTTCGTCTGTGTGCTGCTGTGATTCGGAGTGGATCGTGGGGGTGGGGGTGGGGCCCAGGTGGGCCCAGAACCAGCCATGGTGGTTGTGTGCCATCCCAATCACGCTGGTGACACGACAGGTGAGGGTGCTGTTGGGGACAAGATGGGAACAGGGACCGTTACCTCCAAGTCGCCCCTCGTAGGATGTGGTGCCAGTGTAGGGTGTCTTCCACTGTGGGATCCTGTAAGAGAACAGATGAGGGGGTACGTTTCCAAAGACCTGATTCTTCTCTGAGGCAGGAAGTACCATTTGGACATCATTTGTCAATCTCCCCTAAAATTCAAAGGACGCTTTTGCAAAAGGAACCCATCCAATGGATTGATCCCTCTGGGGTTCTAATTGTTATCTATAGGGTAATTTTTTTTTTTAAAGATAATTCTGTTTCTTCAGGGTGTCACACAAATTGAAATGAATATGGATTTTCTATGAGTTACTCCCTGCACTTTCTTCTAGATCAGCATCTTTACAGATGAACCATTTCTTCAGAAAGAACCCCATGCAGACATTGTTTTTTTTTGTTTTTTTTGTTTTGAAATATACATAAGCTAGGAAAAAAGTGGCACTTAGAACCACCCTCGCTACTTGCTAGTTACGAAGCTCGGGTACGGGGGCCCCTGTGCCTGGGACACACAGCCCTTCTTCGGTGAGGTGGATCCTGTGTAGCTGTGGAGACTCACTGCCTCAGAGAACCTTTCCTCCCCTCCCTATAGCCCAGAGGCACCCCTGGGACCCTGGGGCCACTCAGAGATGTTCAAAAGCTGGCTCTGGATTACGGCCTCTTTTTTTTTTTTTTTTTTTTTTTTTTTTTTTTTTTTGCGGTACGCGGACCTCTCCCCGCTATGGCCTCTCCCGTTGCGGAGCACAGGCTCCGGATGTGCAGACTCAGCGGCCATGGCTCACGGGCCCAGCCGCTCCGCGGCATGTGGGATCTTCCCGGACCGGGGCACGAACCCGCGTCCCCCGCATCGGCAGGCGGACTCTCAACCACTGCGCCACCAGGGAAGCCCCATTACTGCCTCTTTTAAATAACCAAGGAGGTACAAAAAAAACGAGTACATAATTTTTAGCAAGAAAAAAATGACATTGCTGTTTAATCAAATTATGTCTCTGGGTACCCAGCACGTACCTGCTCGCTATGGAGTCACTTAAACATTTCCCCTCCTGGTTGTAGAAGTCATGTCTCTCTCATGGAAAATGTAGGAGTTCAAAGCAGGAAATGACCCCCAGTCCTTTTTCCTTCAGACCAACCCTTAGCAAATCCCTGTCTTTAGCTGTGTCTGTAGTTTCTGCTGCCCCCCACCCCCCCCGCAAAGTCATGTTTGCCTGAATTTAATAACATTTCTCCTCTAGGCTTGTCTGCATTTTCAGATTTTGTATTTTAAAAAACCCATATTGCAATTATTTCAGAAAATAAAAGCAACTTTTAAAAACGTGGCAATAAACTGTCTCACCCATCCTCATCATGCAAAACATTCAGGAGTGGACTAAGGGAAGTCCAGGTCTTCTTTCAGACCCTCAGAATCAGCCTATTCTAACCTATCCTGCCTAGAAAGTGGGTGGGTAACCTTTTTTAAACTTTCTTCATTGATCCAACAGGGGACCTGCCTCAACATCTTCAAGTAATGATCAACCTTCTGCGTTGTGAAGATAGAATCAAGCTGGTAAGAAGAGACGCGAGTGGCAAGTTTTAATTTTTAATTGTGAAATTTGGTAGGGACTTATTGACGAGCAGGGGCTTGGGGGGGGGTGGGCCTCTTACATCAGAGCAAGTTCTCCCAAACCGTTCTCAAAAGCCAGAGCCCGCTATGCTCCTCGGTACCCAGAGGTGCAGACAAAGGGGGTGTCAGGTCTCTGGGTCAGTCTGTGCTAAGCTGGAATCATCATTCACTGGAATTTATTTGTTAACCCCTTTAACAAACTTCAGGGGTCTCCTCTGAGCCAGGTACCATCCCTTATGCTGGGGATATAAATGAGACGTAGGAGTTTTCATCTAAATTCCTAAACTCACGGGGGAAAGGTAGAAACAAAAGTCTTTGGTCTTGGATTGGTGAAGGAAAAGGGTGGCCATCTGGCAAGGCAGGCCAGTAAGAGCATCTCTGCCTGTCTAGGCCGTGCGCTTGGAGAGCGCCCGGGCTGAGCGGGCCCGCTACATGGTGGTGGTGGACAGCAGCGGGCGCCAGGACACAGAGGAGAGTATCCTGCTGGGAGTCGACTTTTCCAGTAAGGAAAGGTGAGTCTGATGGACGGCGGCTTCTTTCTCTCTCTGATGGGGGCAAGAGTTGCTTCTGGAAGAAGGTTTTCAGGGTCCCACATCCACAGGGGCGGGTGATGGTAGGTGATGGGGTGATCAGGCACTGGGAACAGTGGAGTCCCTGATTTTAGCTCTTGTGTGCCGAGTGCTGTGCTAGGTCCAGTCTCTGCTCTCAGAGAGCTCAGGGTCTGCACTGTGCTTAGAGATTTAACCCTGGGTCCTATCAGGGGTGCCCTAGAGGAGGGCACCTTAACCAGGAGGGCTTCCTGAAGGAGGTGACGGCTGTGGCGAACACCCCAGGACAAGCAAGAGCCAGCCAGGTAAAGCAGGAAGGTGCCCTCCAGGCCGACCATCCCATATAGAAGTATGTGATTGATCGGCGTTGTATCGAGCGCCTTATGCAGTATTAATATCCCGTGGATTCCCAAGTACTTGTTGATGGGTCCTGGGTCAGAGGCTTGAGGAGAGGTTTGGAATTTCCCAGTAACTGGAGGCCAAGTTAGTTATATCATAGACCCTGTTATGTGTGCGAAATGAAGGTGCACGACTCTCCTTACATCTAGGATAAGTTAATGCGAGTGAGATCATTGCAGAACCTGAATTTGTTAAAACTGGATTAAAGTAGACGCCCTCTATTCATCATTCACTAATTTTCTCGTTCATTAAGCAAACCATTCATTTGCCTTCTCCTGTGTATGAGGCAATAGGCTCAGCCCAGGAAAACAGAGAAGCAACAGTAACCACGGTTCTCGGCCTCAAAGAGCCTGTAAGCTCAGGGAGGGAGGGAACCATCACCAGAACCTGGGGTGATGGGCCCAGTGATGGGGAAGCGTGGGGTTCGTTCCACCCTCGTGACCAGGACTCCATTGCTTGTCACAAGTAAATGAACTAAAAGGGAAGCTGTTTCCTTTATGGCCTCGTTCCCAGTACATAGGAGCATTCTGAGTGAGTTTCTGCAGCTCACTTAGGGACGTGAGTCCGAGCTGGCGCCCTTGGCCTCGGCTGGTGGGGAAGTCTGGATCTGGAAGGATCTGTGTCAGAACGTGCTTTAAGGGGTGAGCTCCGAGGAGCCCCTTGGAGACCAGAGGGCTCCGGGCTCCAGGTCGGGATGCTCCCAGGCAGGTGCCCTCAGAAATGGCCGGGGCTCCATCCTTTGGTCATGAGGCAAAGAGACGTTCAACGGTGTCACGATTATGTTTGTTCTCTGAATGGCTGGCCGGCCTTTCTGAGGGCCTTTGGGGGCAGGACTTCCCCCACCATGTGTCATCTATCCCAGCAATGCTCTCTGGCCCTGAGCTGAAAGCTGCCTCCCTGGAGAATGTGCCCATCGTCTCAGCCCGAGCCACCAGGGCCTCATAGGAGCCTGCCCACCCCCCCCATCCAGGTCATCTCTGTGGCTTTGGTCAGAGAGCACAGAGCAGTTAACCCGATGCTTCATAAGCATCTCGCCCCGTGGGGTAGGTGGTCCTATAACTCACGTTTTACAAACAAGGAGTCAGAAGCCCAAGAGGCTGGAGTGGTTACACCAAGGCCGTCCTAGTAACAGAGCTGGGACTCACAATTGGGTTTTTATTGTAGACCTGTGGTGTAGACCCACGCATTCCTTTCCCATTCGTTGTCCTCTGTGCCCCCTCGTTCACCAATCTATTCATACCATCACGGTGCGTGCCCTTGTTCGCATGCACTTTCAGTATGCCAGGTGTCCTGCCAGGTGCCCTGCCAGGCACGGGGCTACATCGGTGGGAGAGATCGGCCTCTGCTCCCTTGGAGCTCACAGTCTAGATGGACGAAGGTTAGACACACGAGCACCCTGAGACTGTTCTTTACACACAGGCCCACGTGCTCATTCTCACCCACTCTCTGAAGCGCCCTGCCCCTCCTCTGCTCCCTGGACACCAGCCTCAGTTCTCAGTGTGTCCCCACTCCCTGGGTCCTCTCGCCTCTGCTGCACACTCTGCGCTCAGGCCAGCGTCCCCTCCACTGTCCCAGCCTGCCCCACAGCCCAAGCACAGGTGCCAACTCCAAGGCCAGTGCTGGTCTCCTGTGTTGGGGAGATGGGTCAAGGGGCTGCAGAGGGTGAGCGGGAACCACATGGACCTTCCTGTTGTCGGGCCGGATGCAGCGTCCCCCACGCCCAGGCATAGGGGCCGGGAACTGGGCGCTTTTATCCATCTCCAGCTTGAAAACAAAGCCCTTGTCCTTACAGAAGCCTTTGGCTTGCTGAGAGCATGATACATTTGTTTTTCTAAATTCCTGCCATGAGATTTTGTTTCCTTATTCAAAAAAAGAGAGAGATGAGGTGCCCCCAAAAGGACTCCCCCCAAGGAGAGGGAGTCCAAATGCAGTGTCAGGAGAGAGCATGGGAATGACGCCAGCCACAGCGGGCTCACGGGTTCTCCCTTGGAGTCACATCTACACATGATTCCTCTGGGGATCAGAGCAGCTGCCCTGCAGGGGCCATCTGGGGTTATTTTGTTTCAGATTCAGGAACACCGTGGGTGCTGTGAGCACGAACATCGTCCTCCACTTGTTAGTGTTTTGCAGCCCGTAAAGGACAGGCCTGTCTCCTTCCTACACCTCCAGCCCCCGCGCAGGCCCCGCCCGCTTCTCTGTCCCTGCGGCACCGGCCCTGGGGACCGGGGACCACTTCCTTCCCCTAGAGGTGCCCCCACCCACCCGTTTTATCCTTCAGGGCTGTGCTTCCTCTAAAAAGACCCAGTTTCCCTGACCACGTGTCCCGTCCCCACTTCCCATATATATAAACCCACAGGCCCTCCTTCACTGTAAAAATCTTACTGTCACTCACTACAGGACTAGTGGAGACTCACAGAAATAACAGTTAAGGGGACGTGATGGAATTGGCACAGTTGTTACAGTCGTGTCCTGGTCTCTGGTCTGCGCTCTTGACTCCAGGTTGAGACCCTGAGCGGAAGTCTTCCGTGGCCTTTTGCCCACCGTGCGTAGCTCTCACCAGGCTCTTCCCCATCTCTGCACTTAACGGAGGAGGGCAGTTTAGATGCTTCCCTGGTTTCCTAAGGACCGTTTCGTCTCCGCCTGCCCCGGACCTGGGCCTGTGGATCCCCAGTCTGTGCTCCTTGTAGCTCTCTGTGCCATTTTCTCTCCTCATTTCCAGTCCCTGGTGTGGGTCTTCGGTACTGAAAAAGGGCGAGTGTCCAGGTCTGTGCACACCCTCCCAGGGCACCCTCCAGCCTGGGCTTTCTACATGTCTGTCTTGGGCTCCCAGCGGCCCCCTTCTTGCCTCTCCCCAGTGCGACACAGCTGAGTAACCCTGGGAGCTCTGAGTCTCAACGTCAGTTTTATTTTGCAGCTCTACAAAGGAAATATCATTAACCCATCAAGAATGGGTAGGACAGATGTAAAATAGTTAGCTAGTGGGAAGGAGCCGCATGGCACAGGGAGATCAGCTCAGTGCTTTGTGACCACCTAGAGGGGTGGGATAGGGAGGGTGGGAGGGAGACGCAAGAGGGAGGGCATATGGGGATATATGTATACATACAGCTGATTCACTTTGTTATACAGCAGAAACTAACATAACATTATAAAGCAATAATACTCCAATAAAGATGTTTAAAAAAAAAAAGAATGGGTAGGACTGCAGGGTGGCACCAGAGAATTTGCCCAACACAAAAGGCTTAGCCCACTTTGACCCAAAGGGCTTGAAACTACCTTCCCCACAGATACAGAAGCAGAGGGTGGAAAAGATCCCCTGTGGCTGCCGAAGCTCTGGAGGAAGAGTGGGTTCCTTGAACCCCAGAGCCGCCTGTGCGCACAGTCGCGTGTGTGTAACTGTACTCCCTGGGGGGCTGTTAGGCGGTAGCAGAGATGTCAGCACAGGATCCCTGGAGATTGTCTGAGCTGCCCTTGGCAGTGACGGCTGTTTCTCACAAGCAGACTCTTTTTCAAATGCCTGAAGAGTTTTCATAGTGATCCAAGGAGACCCTCTGATAAAGCCCTTTCTTTTCCTCTGTGTTTCTCAGCGGCGCCAGGCTCTAAAGTGGTCAGGTATCATTTCACTGTTAGGATGGGCAAAACAAAAGCAGATTAAACTAGTTTTTAAAACAGCAGCTGCACAAAAGGTACAGAAACAGAGGTCCAGAAATGAACTCCAGTCATGGTGTTGGCACTCTCCCCTCCCCTGTCACTCCAGGACAGGAGGCTGGGGGTGGCTGCCACGACCTGCCTGTGTCCCCCGGACTGTGTGTGGCCTTGTGCCAGGCGTGTGCCAGCCATCAGCGGCTTCAGCCCTGCTGCAATGTGGGCTTGTGGTCAGCTGGTTACTCCTGGCCCCCGAGAGCTGTAGCTGAGACCTGACATTTATGGAGCTGCAGCCACACCAGAATGCTGGGGTCAGAGTTCCCTGTGACTGTCTCTAAGCTGGGGTCACTGGCCATCCCAGACCCACATCTTCTGGAATTCAGTGGTGAGCAGTCCTTGCAGACAGCCGTAGAGCTTCTCCCAGATACACACCTAGGCAGCTGGACGCAGGGCAGGTGTTGGGTCCCCCATGAGCTGGACAGGCTGGGTGGAGACACAGCGAGGGAAGACCACGTGCAGGCGGGTGGACCCTAACTCTAGGCGTCTTCTCTTCCCTCCCATGTAGTAAAAGCTGTACCATTGGGATGGTTCTCCGACTGTGGAGTGACACAAAAATCCACCTTGACGGAGACGGGTAAGGAGATCTCTCAGAAGGCTTCTTTCACTGTAGACTTTGAAACATGCGTCAGTTTGGGCATCGTTGGATAATCATTAACAGCAGAGTCACACGTGTTACATGTTTACCACATCAGGAGAAATAACATTGCCCTCCCATGAGCCACACAAGGCAGGGTACATTTGGGACATGATATGAGGGAGCTGGGTCATGAAGTACCAACAGAAACATTTACGGGAAATCTGCTGCTGTATGAAGTTCAAGAACGGCAGTGAACAGACATTCATTCATTTGCCTTGATTTGTTAAATGAACACTCGCTGTGTGCCCTCCATGGGCTGGTCCCTGCAAGTTCACAGATGAATATGATGCAGCGGGAGCTCTAAGTCTTTGAGGGCTGCAGGGAAGACACACAACCAACAGGTGCAACAGTGTTTGAGATGCCATTTGGGGGGCTGCAGAGGAGGAATCATCCAGGTGGGCCTGGGCAGGTAGACCAGGGCCAGGGGGCCGTCCGGATTCTGGGGGGAAATACTCAGGTTACTGTCACGAGTAGGAAGAAGCAGGAGAGGAAATTATCTCTACTTGAATTCCAGCAGTAAAAGTTACGTTGCCTTGTGGATAGAATGGGGAGGGAAAGATAAAAATTAGATTTATTGACGACATGGGCTTACGGTTTACATTTTTCCTTTTTAAACTTCTGTCTTCCACTAATGTATGTTTTATGCAAGTATAAAAAACACAGATGGAGTGAGGGGGACGGGAGGTAGGGGGTGGGGTGGGACAGTGCAGGCAGGTGAAGCGAGATGGTGTCCAGTGCCGCTGTTGCCTCACACCCTTTGCTGGGCTTTTAGTTTTTGGCTGACTTTGTATTGCTGGGTTAAAAGCCAGTCTTCCAGATTTAAGAACCTATCTTTTTTTTTTTTTTTGGCTTTTGCCTTTTGCCTTTTGCCTTTGTCTCTGTGACCTGTGGTCCCTCATCACACAGCGTGAGACACACTTGTCCTCAGGGTGTCCACGACAGGCTGTCCGCCCCCCCCCCC